AATTAATAGAGAAACAAATGATCTATAATTGTGTGTTTATGTTCACATGTTTTTCAGCCTGTCATGAATATTGACGTATTTTCTTTGATATGCAGCCAAGAGTTTTATTGTGAATTTTTGATGTAATTCTAACTGAAAAATGCCATTATAATGAGTGAGAAAATGCCTAATTGAAGGTTTTGTGCAACATATTTCTTTTTCAATGTAATTTATGCTGTAAAAAAGTGTTATGCAATATTTTATGTGTGGATAAATGTTAAAGGCGTCATGAAAGTGATGGTTAGACAAGTCAAAGACAATGAACTCACACTGTCAGCCAGATAGCTTAGAAAGCCAGTAACTTTACTGAAGTCTCTGCAAAGTACAAAAGTCTTTCCCTCCAGCAGAGGAGCAATATTTTTGTCTCTAGTCTCTTCACATTTTCACTACATACACCTGAAACAAGTCCCTAGAGTTACAGAGCTTCATTTAAAACCATCCTGGTCTCAGGTGGTAACAAAGACCAGCTTAGCTGCTCCGGTGTTCCAGACAYTAGCTTCAAACTTTCCCTGGTTTCATTAGCTATTGATACCAAAGGCTGACTTTGAAATATTTTACCTTATTTCAATTGTGCTTTTCATRTCTGAAACACTAATTAAATAAAACACAAACACAGCGGAGCAACAAAAATCCCATAAATACTGGAACGATTATGTTTTCACATGGCTGTACACATTTCCCCTTACTGTAAGTTTCTACTCAATAAGATCAGCTGAGGTACTGCTAGGAGGCTCCAAACTTAAATGACAGGATTTAACAAATAAAAAAAGGACTAAAAGGCTTTGCTTCCATTTGTAGTTAAAATTGATAAAATTGTCAAGAAATGTTAGGCATGCTGAATCTTTTGATTACAATCCAAATTATATATTTTTTTCTTGTCTGTGTATTCTTTTGAGCAAAATGCACGAGTGGGTGGGGTGGGGGGGATAAAAACCAACAACAAAACAGGTAAATTATCGTGGTTCGGGTTGGAACAATGCTTGAAAGCCAATGCTACGATTGAAATGTGAAAGCAGTTGTACGTTTGAACAAAGTTCTTTTTATTATCTTGTTTCAATGCTTGCAAAAAACCATAAATGACTGTGAAAATAAAAGTTGATTTTACAACACAGAAATACCACTGGCTTTGGTTTCTCCACACGTTTGCTGCCTGAAACATCATATTTATTGATTTTTTTTTCTCCCCCAACCTTTTTTTTTGTACTGAAGTTTTAAAAAATAAAAGAAAGAACACCTTTACAGAGGCTCTGCCCCATTTTGACTACACAGACTGTATACAGTAACAACATGTGAACCTGCATGAATTATGCACATAGAAATATTATACCACTTAAGTGACTGCAGATACAGGAGTGGGAGGCAGAGAAATATGTGGCTAGTTTCAATGTTTAAATAAAGAGAGAGTAAAAATCAAAAAATCAAAACGACTATTCATCTAAAAAATAAACAATTGTGCTTCTCCCAAACCAGCATGATCACTTCTACCTTCTGCATCTTCAGCTGACCTGTCAGTGAYGGCAATGTGGAACTGTGTTTTGAAGACTAGAACACGAGGAGTGACAGAACGATACAGAATCAAATCTGACTGGCGAATGATTAGTGGTGAGTTATCAATTGGGGGGAAGAGGAAAATTGCTTTATGTATGAGATTACAAAGAAAATTGTACAGTTTGGAACACAAGCAAAGACTGGAGAAGACCTGAGGTTGAAAGTGGATAGCGTCCCCAAAAATATATACAGTATATATGCTTCATTTGATCAACACGATTCAATTTGATCATTTAGAAATATATATATACACTTGTAGCCATACTCTGAGGGTCGGTCATATTTTCTCAACATTGTGACAAAAGTGTGTTTATTTAGTATTTCATTTTATTTCTGCGTCACCTCCAGTTTCAGTCTTGTGACATTTTCCACATTTTCAGCATTCAGGCCCACCTCTCCTGGTTCTCCAACCTGCTCACGGCTTCCCAGCTGGTTTTTCAACATTAGTCTAAATACAACCTCTAAACAGCACTGTTCAGAGTTCAAATGAAACAAACCAGACAACATGTGCAACTGCACATAGAAACTCCACTAAGAAACCAAAAAAAAAAAAAATCATTATATATATTTATATATTAGAAAGCTATACACAAGCATGTTAATTTCACAGATTTTTTTTTAAAGATTCTTAATATTACCATTATTATATATAATTAGAAATACACGTTTAAAAACAAACCTCTACAAAGATAAAACAGTTCAGCAAAGCATTGGATCTCAGTCTGTTTTTCATGGCTTGGGGCTTCAAAGCCCAGTCAATTCCCCCCTCCCCTTTAGGGTAAACTATCCATCTTTTATTAGCAAAGCTATCAAAAACACATTCTGGCTTATAGAAACTACAAAAAGCCACAAAATGCTTTGCATTGTATTCCTTTCATATGAAAATATAAGCAAGTGTATCGTACAATTGTATTCTTTTTTTTGCTTTCATTTTTAACATTTTTTTAAATTGTTTATCAATACTGAGTAGTTAATACTAGATCCAGAGTTGTTGATTACACCTGCGGAGCTCTTGGATCAAAGGGTGGTCCTCACTCCGTTCATTAAGGGGGAGTGCTAAAATCGCCAAAGGTGCCAAACACCTTCAATCAGGTTTACATGTTTACCTGTACAATCCTTCAAATGTTGCATAATAGCTGAATTGTCCGGCAACTTCTGACTCCTGCACCACCCCCCACCTCCCCACACCAGTGACCCGTTATTTACATAAATACGTTGAACCTGCAACATGACATCATCTAATGTTAAACACACATTTTTGCAAAGGAGAGCTGCAGAGAATACCAATGAAACTGATTCTGTACACACGTACTTCCTGTCCAACTCAAGTGGACACACTCGCCCTCATGGTATTGATTTTTTTTATTATATTTTGTCCTTTTTTTGTTATCTAATGATACATTGCTGAGGCAAACTGTAAGTACATTTTATGAGACTGAGTACCTGACTACTTTTCCGATTTGCTGATAAGCATATATGTACACATAAGTACGTGTAAAGATATATGCATATCTTTGTAACCACACACAATACAATTTATGCATAGTTCCCCCCACAAAATTCCCCCAGATCCCATCCAAACCAACACCCACCCACCCAAAACCCTAAAACAAGAGCCCACTTTATATAATGTCAATATGTAAAGCACACACACACACTCAGCAAAAAAAATAATAAAATAAAATAAAAAAAGAAAAAGAAATTACAAACATTTTTTTGAAAAGGGTTGCCCCTTTCCCTTCCTTCAGTGTTAAAGAGATAAAAGGAGAGAGGCCGTGGGGTTGGGTGGTGTGTGACTCATGACGTCGAGTGAGAGGAAGAGGAGGGAGCTGACTTGGGAGTGGGGGCCTCGTAATGCTGCACTGTCAGGGGGCTCCGGGCAACTCGGGGGGGGGATGCTGCCGGGGGGTGGGGTGCTGACAGGGCCATCATGTCGCCCATCCTTCCGAAAGGCGCACCCGCTTGATGGACGGACTCTCCCGCTCGTCCAGGGTGGGCCGGGCCAGTCCTAGAGGCGAGTGGAACTCGTTCCTGTGATCGTCGCGGTCGCTGCCTTCGTGGGAGCTGCTACAACTGCTCAGGCTATCGACGGGGGAGCGACCCGAGTCCTGGCGGGAYGCGGGGTTCTGGGGAGGCGGCACCCCGCCACCGTAGCCCCCGGGTGTGCTGCTGGTGCGATCTCTAGGAGGAGAAACAGGTTCGGACTTGATGTGCAGGCTTTGAGCAGAGGGCAGGGACAGATTTGAACCCTGACATAAGTGAGAGCTAGAGCAATTTCTGTTGGAAGGAGAGGAAACGAGAGGGATTATAGAGTTACAAAGCAGGAGACAAAGTGATTTTAAAGTCAGTTTTATGGTACGCAAACATGCAGTGAAAACAGTGAGGTGTCATTCAGGTGTGGCCTTACAAGTAAAGATCTACAGTGAAGAAGTCTTAGATGTGTGGCATCCTCAAAAATGATCTCTGTTAATAATCCATCATGCATTTCCCAACAAGACCTCACAGTAAAGTGCTGCAAACTCACCCGAGCTGGCTGAGAGCTGAATGCTGCATGTTTTGAAGATGCTGCTGCTGCCACCCACTCATTGAGCCAAGGTGCAGGGAGCTGCCACTGTTGAAGCCAGACAACGAGGACAGGTCTGCACTGTTCAGGGAGTACTCTGTGTACAAACATATGGGAACAAAAAAAGGGGGCATATTTAGACAAAATATGTTGAAAGTCACTAAGATTTATCAGCTCTGGTGAACACACTTTGTTCTACAGTAGTGGGTAGGACAATAGCACCCTCTGCTGTTAGATGGCGGTACAGCAAATATAATTTGAAGTTTTTTTTTGGTGCAATTCAAACATCTAAGGGCAAATTAGGTTATTTGCATACATTTAACRGATAATTAAAGCAAATTTACATAACAAACAGGTATTTTAGGGAATTAGCAATGAAAATCAGAGCTACCTCCTGAGATAAAAGCATAAAATGCACACTCTGTGGTATACGTACCGGTACCGTAAGAAGTAGAGATGGCAGATGGATAACCGCCCATGCCTTGTCCTGGCAGAGTGGGAGTTGCTACTGATACCACAGGGGTGGCCAATGACTGAGCAGACTGAGAGCTGTTTATTCTCTGGTTCTGTGACAGAAACACACACACACAAAGCAGGAGACGGGACAGGTTTGAGAACATGAAGTCAACTCTCAAACAAAACAAACAAAAAGTATAATAAAATAACGGAAGTTTTTATTTATTAATTTGTTAAATGTCAGTTTTTCTTTTTCCTTAACAGATGAGGAGAGAAATACGATGCCAACTTCAGGGAAAATTAATCACTTGACAAAAAGCTTAGCTGAACCCTGCCAACCCTATCATTTACCACATTCTTTTTTTTTTCTGAGGGCCCACTGTCGCTATAGTAACACCATCGGTTTCCACAGCAACGCATGGAAGCAAAGGCAAAGGAGAGGGACTTCATAGAGGAAGAGGGGAAGATTTGTCAGAAAACAATGAAGGTATCATGTAAAGTGAAAGCTTACACACCTTCCCCTGCTTCCTCATCTTTTTTTCCACAATTCTGGAAAAATAAAAGCTTTATGTTGTTTGTTTTCAACACAACATCCTTCATGATGATATGAGGAAGAAAGGGAGGAGGGGATAAAGAACAGCTRTGGCAGAAAAGAGGCCAGGCTGCTTTTACTCTGACCCGCCACTTGATGGCACTATGTGCCTTCACAAACTGTCACACAGTCAACGTTTGGCTTATCACCAGGGTCAAAACAAGRAAAACAGGAATATAAAAGTTTTTCTGCATTCACCACCCAATCTCTGCAATGGTTTTACTAATTTCTCCYTTTTCTGGTTGCGGGTGCCTATCTCCAGCTGTCACTGTGCAAAAGGCGGGGTACACCCTGGACAGGTCGCCAATACATCACAGGGACACTCTCACTCAGACACAGGGACAAATAAGGGTTACCAATTAACCTAACATGCATTTTTTATTATTATTATTATTTTGTCTGTGGGAGAAATCCCATGTGTGCTTGGAGAAAACATGTAAACTCCTCTCAGAAATGCTCCAGGCCGGGAAACAATCCTGCAACCTTTTTGTTGAGAGATGACAGATCTAACCACTGCTCCACTGCTGCCTGCAGTAACAGCTGTTTTGCTAAAACAACATACAATAACTATACTGGTATTCACCAGTAATTACAATGAAATCAACAACTGGACACAAAATACAATRCTCTTTGCTTTATAGGGCACACACTATGCCTAAGAATTATAGAATTGTATTACAAAACCAGAAAAATTCTGATTATACATATATTTTAGGGCTGTGAAATTAATCGAGTTAACTCATATTGATTAATTTTAGTGCTGGGCATACACTAAACATTTTAATCATGATTAATCGTGATTAATCTAACTTTTTATTTTTATTTTTTACAAACAATCACTTTACTATGGCTGAATATGTAGGTTTGTATTTTGCAATCAGTGCATGCCAGGTCATGTTTGTAAATGAGAAGTGGCTTTAAAACAGTTTACCTGGATAAATAAAGGATAAATAAATAAAAAAAACTCCATGTGTAACACATTATGTACAATTTTTATTCTTTTTGTCTTCTTATGGCTTATTTTATTTTATTTATTTATGTTTTGCTGACAAATGTGACATAGTATCTATCTTTTATTCCTCATGTAGTACTCATTTGGAAGGAAAATCCTTGAATTCTTGATTTAACCTCATTATTCTTCACAAAATTTAACTGATTCGTATGTTTGGAAAATGTTTAGGTCCTGTTTTATATTCAAAAAACCATGTCTAAGCATCAATTTTGTTTACTGAATAAAAACATTAAAAACTAATTAATAACT